GTCAACTCTCTTCTCGCCTGGCTCCGGATTAAAAGCGGGTTTTGCGGCGGCGCACGAGGGATTCCATCCCGAAAGAGCGGCCGGGAGACTTGATTTCAGATCGCAGCCAGGGCGCCTCCTGCTCACCCCCTCCTGGGTTTCAGATCGTGATCCCAGCCTTTCTCTGTGCAAACGGCCCCAGGGAAGAAAGGGTCACCGGAGTCAGTCGGAGGAAGCGGATTATTTATTAAATAAATAAAGGACACGCGCGCGCCCAACCAAATGCGAGTCCCCGCCGCCGCCCCCAAAAGACAAGAGGATGGGTTTCTTCTGCACCGCAGAACAGAGGGGATCGGGACATGCTGCTACTATAATGGAGACGGAGTCCATGCAGGGTCACCTCCAAAAAACGCCCTTGGCCCGGAGCTGTGCAGGGGAACCATCTTCTTGCCATCCTCATCATCAGGCATTCAGCTACCCCTACCCCCATCCACCAGACTCAATCCTATGGGCAAAGACAAGTGGCATCTGCCCCTTTTTCCTTTCATCACTCTTCACACCTTTGGGAAAGCAGAGGGCTATGACTTCTCCAAGGAGGGAGGGGGGGTAGAGTCTGACAGGTGGCAGAGGACCACGCTAAGACCTTGGCCTTAACAGGTAGTTGCCCAGCAGCCACTTGCTCTGGGCTATGACTGAGCCCACTGACCTCATTGGAACGCAGAGGAATGCATGTGCTTTGGCACACCGCGTGCCTTCTTAGGCACGCCTACACACAAGTAAACGCCACAATAATCAGTGGGATTTGATTCCAGGAAAGTGTGTCTGGGATTGCACCCTAACTGTGATTTGAAGCCCTTCTTGTTCTGCTTCTGTGCACTTGCATCTGTTTTATTTCTGCAGGAAACAGACCCCGCTGCCTCCTGGTCCATCTACTTTAGTGTTGCTTGCACTGACCACAGGTGGGCACAGCCAGGGGAAGATTTCAGGAGTTGCATAACTCCAGAATCATCACTTTGCCAAACTCTAGTCAGCAGGTTTGGGGGCTCAACAAGAGACTTTCCCAGCCCTAATTAGAGATGTGTGTTATGTGTCATCAAGGCACATCCAACTTACAGTGACCCACATAAGGTTTTGAAGGTGAGATATTATGTTACTTATTTCCATTTATTCAAAATATTTTTGTCCCGCCTTTCTCCTTAAAAAAAGACCCAAGGTGGCTTATTAAATAAACTAAATTTCCACCTCTCTCCAATGAATTTCCATGGCTGAACGGGGTTTCAGACTCCCAATTTCTTGAGTTCTAGGACATCACTCTGTCCACTGCACTCTGCTGGGTGCCGTACCTTATCTAGAGACACTGTAGATAAACATTAACATTGTGTGCCATAAAGTCAATTCTGACTTATGTCAACCTTTTCCAGGATTGTAGGTAGAGAATATTCAGAAGGGGCTTACCATTCCCTTCTTCTGGGGACGTCCTGGGACTGTGCCGCTTGCCCAAGGCCACAGTGTTTGGCTCTCATCACAGGAGGCACAGTGGGGAATCAAAATCCCAATCTCTGGCTCTGCAGCCGGATACCCAAACCACTGAGTTACCCAGTAGTTCTCATTACTTTACATGTTCTAGAATTGCAGCTGCCCCCACCAATTCACTACAGTACCACCAATTCATTGTCTGTCACATTCATACCATTTGGTACTTGTTGGTGGTGGGTCTGCCCAGCTGCCCCCACCATTTCACTACAGTACTGAATTCATTGTCTGTCACATTCACACCATTTGGAACTTGTTGGTGGTGGGTCTGCCCCTTGTGACATGAGATGAGCATTCTCCGCCACCCCCACCCCCGATCTTGGGCCATGGCTCTAAAATCTTGGGCACTGATGAAGAGCATGGGGGGGACGGGCATACTGATGTTCTTATTGTGATGATTTGCTGTTCTTCATGGGCCATTTCCCTCTCCTGTTCCTTTCTTCTTGGGGGAGTGGTTCTCAGGCAATCTAAATCAGCACAGCTTTTTTTAAAAATTTATTATGACAATCAACATTATCTGAGGATTTTTTCTGAACACCATTAGCATTAATGTATGGAACAGCAGCAGTCCTTTGCAGCCTCCTCAGGCTATTGCTCCTGCCCCTTCAATCTGCCATGGATTGTCTTTCAACCATCTCATAGCTTCCCAGTACAGTATTTGAACTTAGAGTGAAAAAAAGCACAGAAGGCTCTATCTGACATGGCATCTCTGCCTGTGTGACCAAAAGATCAGTTATTTATTTATTTAGAATATTTAAATGTATTCAGAATATTTAAATCTCAGTGGATAGAAAGGCTCTGGTTAAACCATTAATTAAATATCTCACTACCTGTTAGGGTTACTGTGAGGCAGTTCAAAACTGACGGCACTCACACACACACACCTTCCTTCATAAAAGATATCTAGTGCTAAAATAGAATCACTGGACAACACTAAACCTGAGTGCAGAAGTACAAAGCAGACTCACTCGTTTAAAATACTTGGAACCTGGAAGATTTTGGCCTGGCACAGATATGATTGTAAGGTCGGTGTCAGTCACCCTGTACAAGAGGTGCAGCAACAGAGAAGGCCACCTTCCCTGGTTGTCATGTGTGGAGAACCTCCCTGCAGATTCCACAGAGGGGACGGGCTGGTATAGGACAGGCTAAAGCATAACAGAGAACTTGGAAACAACATTCTTGTGCTATAGTTCTCGGAGGGTCTCAGCCATTAGTTATGTGGCCGAGGGGATCTGAAGAGTTGCAGTCCATAAATGTAACTTCTTCAAGCTCTGGTAAATGAGCAACAGAGACTCATTTTCCGGTAGTGGGTGGTTGCCTCATCTCCAAAATCAAAACACTTCTTTCTCTTCTATGTTTGGATGCACTCCCTGAAGGACCTTGAGAAGAACAGATTGCCAATTCTATTTGCAGAACAGTTAACACAACTAGCGTTTCTAGTTATATCCACACAAGATGCCAGGAGCAAGATTTGAAAAGACACACCAGCACTTAACTACATTATTTTTACAGAGACTGAGCAAAGTGCGAGGATCATAGATACATGCAAGATACCTACAACAAGATGATTATGAGAAATGTGGCAGGGGACAATGATCTGTAAATATGGCTCAAGGATGAATTTCAGCCTCAGCATACGAATCTGAAATCCAATACCCAAAGAAGAGTCAGCTGGGCCCTTTCAGTCCTGCAAACATGAGGTGGATCATAAGCATTTTATCTGTGAAGATTCTCAGTCATCCAGGTGTGGTTACCTGGAAGTTGAGTCGTGGCAACTGGACTTCTTTCTTGTTAGGTTGAAATGTTTCGCTTCTCATCCAAGACTAAAGAAGCTACTTGGATGAGTAGCAAAATGTTTCAACCTAAGAAGGAATGGTCCTTAAAACTATTTTTTGAAGATAAATATATGTTACTCATCACATCTAAGTAACTGAGGTGCTGCTCATTCCACTAGAAAGTACAGTGGTGCCTCGCTAGACAATGATAATCCATTCCACTGAAATCGCTGTTTAATGAAATCATTGTCTAGCCCTAGAAAGTAACTTCATAGCTGCTCATTACATTATTTGTTCTTTCAAAAGTAACTATGCTGCTTCTGTCTACTTACTTCCAAGCTCTGCTTCATTTACCAAATTTAATTGAGGGGTCCAGACATCACTGTATTTTACATATAACTCTCTTGAGTTTTCCCAAAGCCTCTTGGGTCTCATTTCTTTCCATGCTTTCAAAGGAAAAGACAGAATAGGTGCCCAGTGAGTGTACTGTATTTCAACTAGCAGTGCAAGGGGCAGGTGATCTGGAAGACTGGCTGCTTCTCTGCTCCCTCTTTGCCCTATTTCCATCTATAGTGCGTTTGTCAGGTCAGCAGCATCCAATTCCCTGAGGTTTCAGGAACTAAACTTGGGTGCCTGGTTTACTGGTTCATTTCATGTACTGTATCAAGAAAGCATCGTTTTCACTATTTTTAGCTGGAGATGACCTATATTTGTCAGAACCAAGCAACAAAGGAGATGGTAACCCATTTCTAAGCGGTGGCACCTCCGCTTGCATCTGTGACTTCATTTGCTTGAATGTTCTTCCATGCCAATAAAAATGGGCCTCTCCATGTCATTTGGGGATGGTGGGAGTTGTAGTCCAACATATGTGGAGGGCACCAGGTCAGGAAAGGCAGATTTAAAGCACTGAGTTGTATCGTTTTATTTTTTAAAAATTTCCAAAACAAATACAAGAATATATAATACTTACTAATACAATCTAAAACACAGTGCACCCCCATACCCACAGGACCTTTTGGAGAAATACATTATTATGAACCTCCTTTCCAAAATTGTATTGTTTGTTGCTTAGAGGCTTTCCCCTTTCCTTTCACTAATACAAATTCAATAAATCTACCCCAAATAGCATAAAAATATTTAAACTCATTTCCCCTCTTTTCATCTTAAGTTCAGTAGTCAATTTGTCATTTAACATACTTCGTTATACCAATCTTCTAATTTAATATCATATTTGTTTTTCAAGTATCTATCTATTAATATTCTAGCACTTGTCATAAAATTAGAAATCAATTCCTTTGAGCAATAATCAAGTTCTATCTTATCAAAAATTGACAGCAAAGCAATTTTAGAATTAAGTTTGATATCTTTTCCAAATATATCACATACTTCCTTAAAAATCAATTTCTAAAATTTCTAAATCAATTTACACTCCCACCACATATGATAATACGAGCCAATTTCTTCATAACATTTCCAACAGGCCTTAGAA